ATCGTGGTGCGGTACGGTGCAGTGCGGTGCGGTGCGGTAAGCGGTCCCGAACGAAAAAACAAAAAAAACTCACGCACCGGGATCGAGCCTGCGACCGCGGTTCCCATTCAGTGTCGGAGCTAGCGCACACCACAAGCGGTGAGCGCCGATGCTCCGGGGCGCATTGCGCGGGTCCAGGTGTGGTGCAGTGCGATGCACTGCCACACGCAGTGTGGCGCGGTGCGGTGCAACGCGGTGCAGTGCGGTGCGGCGCGGACACCGAAGCGGTGCACGGCGATGCTCAGGGGCGCATTGCGCGGGCCCAGGCGTGGAGCAGTGCAGTCCGGGACGACGCGGTGTGCAGTGCACGGTCCAGAACGAAAAGAAATGAACAATAAACGACGACGACGCGAAAAACGAACCACGCGACGACGAAGGCAGCGCTCCCGAACGAAAAATATAAGAAAGCGGGCGCCGGGCGACGAAGCCAGCGAGCCGCAACGTAAACGTAAAAAAAATGACACAACGACGCGCCGGCGCCGGGGTCGAACCGGCGACCCGGGCTCCCACTCGACGTCGGAGCTAGCGCGCCCGACGAAGGGCGCACGGCCATGCTACGACGCGCGTTGCACGGGCCCAGGTGTGGCACGGTGCGGTGCAGTCCGTAGCGCACGAACGCAGGAAGACGTACGGCTTGCGGTGCGGTGCGCTGCATAACGAAAAGAAAAAAAACGACAACGACGGGAAGCGACCGGCGAGGTGGACTCCCGCGGCGACGAAGCTAGCGCTCCCGAACGAAAAACACAAAAGAAAGACGCGCGGGCGCCGGGATCGAGCCGGCGACCGCGGCCCCCACACAGCGACAGAGCCAGCGCGCACCACGAAGCGGTGCGCGGCGATGCTCCGGAGCGCATTGCGCGGGCCCAGGTGTGGTGCGGTGCGATGCGGTGTGATGCGGCACGGTGCGGTGCGGTGCGAAAAAACGAAAAAAAGCGACGACGACGGGACGCGAACCGGCGACCGCGGCTCCCACACGGCGACGGAGCTAGCGAAAACGACGCAGCTCCGAAACCGCGCACGACACGGCGAAAAAGGGCGACTCTCCAGAAATTCCGAACAGACACGCGGACGCCCCCCGCAGCCTAAGGTCTCCGTCCCGACGACGGAACGACTAAACGTCGTCCGTCTAACGTCGGGACTACGACGCGCACTCCCCGGGCCCAGGTGTGGCACGGTGCGGTGCAGTCCGTAGCGCACGAACGCAGGAAGACGTACGGCTTGCGGTGCCGTGCGCTGCATAACGAAAAGAAAAAAAACGACAACGACGGGAAGCGACCGGCGAGGTGGACTCCCGCGGCGACGAAGCTAGCGCTCCCGAACGAAAAACACAAAAGAAAGACGCGCGGGCGCCGGGATCGAGCCGGCGACCGCGGCCCCCACACAGCGACAGAGCCAGCGCGCACCACGAAGCGGTGCGCGGCGATGCTCCGGAGCGCATTGCGCGGGCCCAGGTGTGGTGCGGTGCGATGCGGTGTGATGCGGCACGGTGCGGTGCGGTGCGAAAAAACGAAAAAAAGCGACGACGACGGGACGCGAACCGGCGACCGCGGCTCCCACACGGCGACGGAGCTAGCGAAAACGACGCAGCTCCGAAACCGCGCACGACACGGCGAAAAAGGGCGACTCTCCAGAAATTCCGAACAGACACGCGGACGCCCCCCGCAGCCTAAGGTCTCCGTCCCGACGACGGAACGACTAAACGTCGTCCGTCTAACGTCGGGACTACGACGACGGACACCCCCCGCAGCCTAAGGTCTCCGTCCCGACGACGGAACGACTAAACGTCGTCCGTCTAACGTCGGGACTACGACTACGGACGCCCCCCGCAGCCTAAGGTCTCCGTCCCGACGACGGAACGACTAAACGTCGTCCGTCTAACGTCGGGACTACGACGACTGCAGAGATTGATTTCGACGTCTTCCAGTTCATTGATGTACCTTTTCCACCCTCACCCCCACCTCGACCACCTAACAGTCCTGGTGTCATAGAATCACCCAGCCCGCCACCTCGCCCGCCTCGCCCGCCTCGCCCACCCCCCAGCCCACCCATGACTGTCGCTGCTCTGGCAGCTGCAACCGGTGCTACTATCGTCCAGAAACCCTTTGGTCCACCAGAGCCTCCGCTTGCGCCACCGGATCCTCCCCCACTAACACCTCAGCCCCCAAAACCACCAAGGCCACCTCCAAGTCCTCCATTACCAACACCATCACCCCCAGTGCCTTCTCCTCCATCACCACCGCCAGCCCCTATGGCTTCTCCACCTCCGCCCCCACGGCCATCTCCCCCACCACCGCCACCTCCTCAAACATTTAGGCCGCCGAGCCCTGTGCACAACCCTACAATCAGCCCACCTCCACAGATACCTCTCACTCCATTGCCCACATCATCTAGGCCATCGCCTCCACCCCATGCTCCAGGCCTTCAACCCTCACCACAATTGACTAATCCGCCACCATCTGCTGCTCCCCCCATTGTTTCGCCTCCTCCTTCCCCAACACCTCCCTCCCCATCCCCTTCCTCCTTACCCTCATCTAAACCACCATCTCCATTACCTTCTCCATTCCCTGGTACATTTTCACCTTTATGGCCATCACCACAATTTGCACCGGCCCCGCTGCGTCCTAAGCCCCCCAAGCCCCCTCCTACACTGAGCCCGGTGCCTCCACTACAGCCACCATCACCATCAGCATCACCAAGGGTTCTCCCGCCACCACCGCCAGACCACCCGCCCCTGCCACCGCCTCCTCGGCGCCGTACAGTATCACCGTCCCCGCCGCCACCATCACCACCGCCCGGATTACCACCGCCACAACCGAGCCCAGCTCCTCCCCTGCTGCCGCCTGTCCGCCAAACCCTGCCACCACCACCCCGCCGCCGTACATCACCACCACCACCGCTGCCATTCCCATCATTACCACCACGACCACTGCCTCTTTCACCCGCACCACCACCTGCTCCTACGACGATTATATGGGCAACAGATGCTGTAACAGCAGATGTAAGCTATTACATGAAGTCTCAAGCGTGTCGATGTTGTAGGTGTAGATGCCATACATAGCTCGTTCAGTTAGGAAGAAGTAATGGTTCATCATGGTTATGCAGATTTTTGTATGCCGGTCGCGACGTTATTATCACAGCATCCATGTCATCCATTTGTCCCCTTTATATGCCACGCCCACTGTTGCATGTATTGTGTTTTTCCTGCTCTTTCCGTGTGTAAGCAGGCCCCCGATCAGGCAAAGAAGGTGGTGGGTCCTCCAAGAAGTGCGGTGCTTCAAATTACCAAATGCACCCGGCCTGCCGCACTCCTTGCCTGGGCGCCGGCATCACGCAAGGTACATACTGACCTGGTTTCACCGTCCACTAGTAGTATTACTTTGCAGACCAGCCATGACAGCATACCAATTCATGATTCCGGTAAAGATACCAACTGATGTACGGAATTCGCCTCCAAACGAAGCCTGCTGCTTCTGCAAGCAACATATGCACACGCTCACAGGTAGCCGTGCGTCTGCTTGCCCTTGCTTGATAGCTAGCTAATGATTGGTACATCATACCTACGGATATATCTGCTGCCGCTGCTGGGATCATGTACACAAATTACAGCACGGCCAGTTACATTTCGCTTGGATTAGCACATGGGGCTCTTGCAAGGTTGAGTACCTGGCAGCAGCAGCCAGCCCTAACAGAAGAGGACACTGTGGCTGAGATCCACAGTCCAATCTGCAACCCCTGCTGTTCACAGCTAACCTCCATTGCACTGGCCTGCAGGCCTCCCAGCGGCTGTTGCAGGTGACCTTTCCAGCCACCAGTGCCTCCCAGGTCCGGGCAGTGGGGTTATTCCTGCTCAACCGGGGAGTCCTGGACCCGCTGATAACGAGTGTCAAGCTGCTGCTGTCAGGCGGAGGATCTGGCAGCACGGTGGGTGCTGAAGGTTTGCGTGCATGTGTCGGCTGCTGCTGGCTATCCATTAGGTGCATAAATGTGTGTGCACATCAAGGGTGTCGCCTCTCCGACCTGTATGTTTGTTCGAATACCTACTTCCCTCCCTGAATGCAACAAGTCTATTGACATATATATGTATATATGATTTATCACTCCTTGCATGCCCCAGGCTACAGTAGTCGTGCCTATCTTTGAGGCCTCCAAGGACACCTCTCCAACGTACACCTGCCCCGGCATGACTAACTTCACTGTCAGCTCCTCGGTAGCAGCCTCACGTGCGGGGCTGAGCTCCCCGGACTTCCTCAGCCGATCAGTGCTGGGGGTCTGGCTGGAGTTCAACAGTGAAGCAGTGTTGGCGGTGACAGACCTGCCCTTTGTGGCCGCAGTCGGAATGACTGTAGTACTAAGTTAGCCATCATCGTTGGCAAAAAAACCACCTTGCATATCTGCAACCAAGCATTGGCTCCATGGCGTCGCTTAGTGTGCAAGCTTAAGGGGATATCGTCTGCTGGATAGCCGCTGTGTGTTCATGCCAGCTGTACCTGCCTGCGTGGATGTAAGCATAACTTTGCACATTGCAAGCACGGTGCAAACACGATGATGTGCACATACGTATTACACATACTACTTTATTAAATGCAAACTACGCAAGCACACCGTTGTTACATTCGCGCGTGATGATGAAGCTAGCTCAGTGAAGAGCTTTGGGAAGGCTCCTGATGAAGTAGATAAGACATAGATAACCAGAGGTGTCGTACTTAGGAAGGCACATAGAAGCAAAAAGGCATAAAATGAATGCCAGAATCCTAGACTTCCGCTGGCCGCCTGCTGTATTTGCTCGTGCAGCATCATCAACGGTAGTTAGTATAGGCTTCCTTTATGTTCAAGTGGACTATGAGTGCAGACCTGGTGCTCACCACTGTATGCGCTTCCCTATGCAACCCTGCTGGCGATGTGCCTGGTGCAGGACCGTTGTTACCTAGCGCCTACACTCATTATTACATATAGCCAAGGCCTCCCTATCTGATAGCTGTCCAATTGGACTTGTTGCAATAAGTCGTTACACTTTGAATTCCGGTATCTTATGTGGCGTCATCTTTATTGTCACGCCAAAACATCTGAAGCACACAAGTTATGTGCCATGACCGAGTTAGTCGCTATCTGCAGGTGGTTATGCCAACCGAAGGTATTTGGATGAGTCGCGTCTTGATTCAGTTGAGACTTAGAGCACTGGATGACTGGTGTATAAGGCGCTTTCCGTTGTGGTTTGAGGATGTTCAGTTGTTGTTCATCTATCATTAGTCGGATGAACGCTACACATCCAGGATAGGGCCTCATGCGATAAGGCCGGGCACGGATCAGTTGATCCCTCGCCATAAGTGTGAGTGCTAAGATGCCAAACGTTTGTCGTTTGGCTCTCGAAGCAACTCTTTGTGAGCGTATTGACCAACATTATTAAGAGTAGTATCATCAGAGGTGGGCAGCTAAGCCCGATTTGTGTAACAAGCCTGCGAGCATACTCAACCTCGTGATGCACATTCACCATCAGAGCAGAATTATCAGAGGATCCATACGGCATTTCTCAAGGTCCGCCCTTAGTGCTGTTACCGTCACGGTTGACAGGGATCCGTCCCCAGCCCGTCCTCGCCTGCCATGATGTTATATCTAACCAAACCACAACTGGATGGTGGCGTTGGAAGACACCGATTTGAAGAGTTTCGTCCGCTTAAATAGCGGGGGATGCAGCCATCCCATGAACCATACAGCCAGTTCCGAAATGGCGCGGTCCAGTCCCGGAATGGCATACCGTTGATCCATGCTTCCAATCGATGACGGGGCTCCGCGAGCCAGGGACCAGCATCCCAGTCGTAGCCTGTGCTACGACCCCCGCCCATACTTCTGCAAGTATGGACTTCCGCCTGAGGCGGCGTTTACTTGTAGGCATCCATGACAGCTTCCCGCTCGCCGTCTGACCCAAAGGTCGGAGCCATAAAGACCTGCCCCTTGCAGTCGCCTCCTCCATCACCTCCTCCATACCTTCCCCCCTCACTCCCACCACCTTTCCCACAACCTCCCTCCCCACCTCCTCCTTCCTCACACCCTTCCTCCCCTCCTGCACCATCCCCTAGCACACCACCCCTGTTACCCACTTCACCTTCTCCACTTCGTGATATATTTTCACCATCACCAGGACTGGCATCACCCCCGCTGCGTCCCAAGCGGCCCAAGCTTTCCTCAATGCCTCCACTACCGCCACCATCACCACCACCAAGGGTGCTCCCACCCCCGCTGCCAGCCCACCAACCCCCTCGGCGCTGTACATCACTACCGCCACCACCGCTGGTCTTGAATTCAGCCCGGCTGCCACTGCCGCCAGTCCCTATTTCTCCACCACCTTACCTCCCTCCTACAACAGTTATTTGGGCAACCAACGCCACAACTGCGGATGTAAGCACGATGTCACCACAGAATCACGACCGCCCTGTTTGTCACTGCATGCATGCCATCCTTATATGTATAAGTCACATAGTAGTGCGGCACACCTAGCATCGACATATAAAACCCACTAAATTATCATCCCAGTACCTCGGGAGGCTCTTTTAGGCGCAGCTTCGACAAATGGTATGGGACTTTGGATAACGTATATACATATTTAGGTTCAAGGTGCCGGTTCAACCTCCTCTACATGTTAGACATTATTACACATAATTGCAGCAGGGGATGGCTAGGTCACCATCATGACGATTCTTGGCACGGTCTGATTGTCAGAATGTAAAGAGTAGCTTTTGCTGATTGTGACGACTCTGCACGTGAAAACCAAAGGGCGCATGACATGGGCATGACGTGGTGTGAGTTAGGGCCCTGCTGCTGCCGAAAGTAGGTGGTCTGCGGATAAAAGGCCAATAATAATGTGGCCATAAGGGCCCGAGGTAGAGGAAGGTATTAATCTAGTAGCTGTTATACTTACATTAGTGGGTATGAAGCCATTATGCGTGTTAAGCACCCTGCCAACGTCTTGAGAGCCGTTTCCAGCGGCCAGCTATTACAGCAAATCCCATCCATACTTTTCTCTGCCCTGCCTGCCTGCCCGCCGGCCGGCCAGCCGGCCGACTGGCAACGCATGTGCATGTATGTTAATGATAAAGCAGAACCCTGAGCAAGCCAAGAAGGTGGTGGGTCCGCCCAACACTGCAGTGCTCGGAATCACCGAGTGCACCTGACCCACTGCATCCTTGGCATGGGTGCCAGCATCACGCAAGGTGGGTATCTACTCATCAAAGGGCTCTACCTACCTAATGTACATACATGAACGCAACAGGGGTAAACACTGAGCTGATTTCCATCATATCTGGCATAATTAATGAATGGTGTTTGTTGGTAAGGACTTGTTGCACAGACCGTGTTTGAAGATAACAGTTCCACCCACGGTCTATCCACGTGCACGGCCTATCCACGGTGCCAAGACGGTCTATCCATGTGGCCACGGACAAGTTGTGCAGCAAGTTGCGCTGCAGGAGTGAGCCCCCGTGTCCCGGCTCTTATAACAGCCAACTACCTCGTAGGTAGTTGGGCCCCCACTAGGTGTAACACCAGGCAAACAGTACAGGGAGATGCCAAGGGAGCTGAACCCTTCTTACACTGGGTAGTTGGGCCCCCACCACCAATCTAATTAGAACTAATGATCTAATGAGATTGAGATGAGATGATTTTTCTTTTTAAACCTTTGGGCTAGCTAACCTACTGCTGACGTCTGGTGTCTCTTCCTAGTAGTGCGGTGAAGGTCCAGGGCTTGGTTAACCAGGAACGTTCCTGGTTCAGGAGCGCGATGTGGTGTCTCATTGATTAACTGAATTGGGACAGAGACCATCCGCATTTTTGGTGACTGATAGGAGGCCCTAATTTATGGATTCTGGGAGCCTTCCATAACATCATTTCATATTCTTGTGGAAGAATCAGGAAAAGGATGTGTCATTTCATGGAAGAAATGAGGCCTAAGTCTATGGAAAAGGAATTCGAAGCCATATTTTATGGAAGTTTGAGCCCCCTTTTTCCCAGAGCGATCTAACTTGAGATGATGGCTGACTCGTGCATGAGATGCGTGATTGCCGTAGCAGTTGAAGCTCTTACCGCCTAGGTGATGATGGCTGAACCAAGCGCTTGTGGCACAAGCCAGCCAGCTGCCGTCGAGGAAGGAAAACACCACCAAAGAGTCCAGAGCGGAGACAGGCACACGTACATGGTGTGCATGGTGGCAAGAAATTGACACCAAAGGCATATTACAAGAAGCCCGAGGGCCTTCAGTTAAAAGAAGCAAGCACCCTGGTGAACGGTGTACAGGAGCATGTTCAATATCCTGCTGGGGGGCAACTTTGTCAAAATTCAATGTGTGTGCTGCGCAGCTGCAGCAAGCTTGCTCCACACCCGCCTGCCTGCAGGCCTCCCAGCGGCTGTTGCAGGTGACCTTTCCAGCCACCAGTGCCTCCCAGGTCCGGGCAGTGGGGTTATTCCTGCTCAACCGGGGAGTCCTGGACCCGCTGATAACGAGTGTCAAGCTGCTGCTGTCAGGCGGAGGATCTGGCAGCACAGTGGGTGCTGAAGGTTTGCGTGCATGTGTCGGCTGCTGCTGGCTATCCATTAGGTGCATAAATGTGTGTGCACATCAAGGGTGTCGCCTCTCCGACCTGTATGTTTGTTCGAATACCTACTCCCCTCCCTGAATGCAACAAGTCTATTGACATATATATGTATATATGATTTATCACTCCTTGCATGCCCCAGGCTACAGTAGTCGTGCCTATCTTTGAGGCCTCCAAGGACACCTCTCCAACGTACACCTGCCCCGGCATGACTAACTTCACAGTCAGCTCCTCGGTAGCAGCCTCACGTGCGGGGCTGAGCTCCCCGGACTTCCTCAGCCGATCAGTGCTGGGGGTCTGGCTGGAGTTCAACAGTGAAGCAGTGTTGGCGGTGGCAGATCTGTGGTCTAGACCTACCCTTTGTGGCCGCAGTCGGATTAGCCACCATTGTTGGCAACTAATAACATGCACTAACTCTATATACCTGCATTTCTTTAAGCGAGCGAAACTGTTTGCAAGCTGCTTGCCAGCCTTGGCTTGTTCATCATCTGCCTGGCGGGAAACAGCTAAAGGGGAGGCAGGGATGCACACAGTCACATAGTCAAGATGTGCATGCATATATGCATATATATACGTGCTTATAGATACACGTATATCATGCTAGATATCTAGCATCGATGCTCTGAGAAAAGGTACAGGAGGTGTCCATGGTGATTAATGTGAATGAGAAAGTGGGAGGAGAGTTTGAGTCTAAGCTTAAGCAAGGAATGAAGCAAGGGTGCCCTTTATCTACGGAGCTGTTTGGACTCTTCATTGAGACGTTAGCTGATCTGATTGATACTCGTGACATTGTGGAAGCTGGAGTACGTAAGCATGACACACCACATGTGGACAGCAAGCGCGTCTCCGGATCCATACTGCTGTACGCGGTTCAGGAGTTAATTCCCCTTTTTTGGGCGGGGCCCCAGCGCGAAGCGCCCAGGGGGGCCCCGACCTGTAGGATTGCCCATGTCCGTGTGTGTGTGTGTGTGTGTGTGTGTGTGTAACGGACCAAACATAATATCTCGCCTGGCTGAAACGCGTTATAGGTACTATACAGCATTCTCTATTGCAAGGTATCTCGCATGTAGCTAAGAAAGACCGTATGAGCACAAACAAGTTTAGCTGCCTCCATTCACCGACCTCAAAAGTCACATCAACGCCTCTCGCGCTAAATTTCATCCCGAAAGCTGCCGCGTATCTTACAATGGAATTCTGAGATGACGGCGTATGATAACTCGAACACCCAGCTTGTGTTACCATTTGCCGGCATGGGCAATCCGACTTGCCACCAGCAGGCCAACATAATTTGCTTTCATTTCTCTATGAAATACACAAGCTGCTTGTTTGTACATTTACTTTGGCCAATGCACGGGGCCTCCGAAGAGTTGCACTCTGCCGCTCTTACTTATCTGTTTAGTTATTACAAAGCCATGCGGCAGTGGGGTGCTTTCCTGTAGCCGCTGGTGCTTCAAGACCTAAACATCACAGACAGCACCGAACTTCATATGTTAAGCAACGGCTCCGTTTGCGGTCTGCCGTACTGTCCATGCGATGCGGCATGCACCCGAATGTCCATGCGGCATGTTGTATCCTGTAAAGGTTTTCTGCAACGGTTTTGGGCGCCGAATCCTAACTGTCGGTGGTTATCTCGTCCACTCCGATTTACCGAACTTCAATATTACTAACAAACACCTGTTTATTCCGCGGTCGGTGATTACAGGTTTTAACTAATACTGCTATTAGTTTACTTGCGGCTACTGTTAGCTGCGGCGGCTAAAGCGACTACTGTTAGTCGTCCACCATTCGAGTGCCGCACTACTGCGGAAGTCCATATCTGCATATGGGCGCGTTGCGGCTATTGTTAGCTGCAGGCGGCTAAAGCGACTACTGTTAGTCGTCCGCCACCTTAATGCCGCACCGCTGCGGAAGTCCATACCTGCATATGGGCGGGGGTTTTACCTACATAAAGCTGGGACATGCGCCCCAGTTTCGTCTGACTGAGCGAGAGTAGTTCCTGCAAACTATGGCTTCTGGATACAGCGCCGCCCAGTCGTACTGGGGATTCTTATCGGCGCGAGGCCCAAGTGGAGTCACTGATGACTATTTATTCAAGACACTTGTCTCAATCGGTATCTTTCGATGCCCCCATTATGTGGTTGTATCGTCTGACCTTTACAGCATGGCATGCACCCGGATGTCGATTGCTACCTGCCTGTACGGATGCAGAGGGGCCCCGCCCTTTTTCTGGCTTCCTTGAAGCTGACACCCAACTTGTCATTGTGACATTTCGTCAGTCCCCGTCCGAGATGGAGGATTTTCTTTTTACTCAGCTGGTAGGCTTTTCGCCCACCCGGGCATCCACCTTTGGGGTAAGAGTATAAGAGTATAATTACGCAACATATCGCCTAGGGTCCTATTGGTACGCTCGGTCTGACCATCAGACTGGGGGTGGTAGGCAGTAGAAAGATTTACCCGCATGCCTACCAACTTCCCCAGGGTGTCCCAGAATTTACTAGTGAACTGGCTACGTATACCGTGATCAGTCACGACAGCCTTGGGAACGCCATGCAGGCGCACAATGTTGTCAAAGAACAAACGTGCCGTGTGCTCTGCAGTGCAGGATGATGTGGTGGGTGCCAGGTGGACCATTTTCGTCAGGCAGTCAACCATCACCAACACTGCGTCATATCCCCCCTCAGTTTTGGGCAGCGCAACAACGAAGTCCATGGACACTCTCCCAAGGGGCTGCAGGGACAGGCAAAGGCTGTAGTAGTCCATGGGGCTTACCAGAGGTAGACTTGTTGGGCTGGCACGAATCACAGGAGAGGATGTAATTCTCGGCATCCTTAGCCATCCGCGGCCACCAAAAAGAACGCCGAAGAATTTCGACCATCCGTGTGCAGCCAGGGTGCCCCGCCAACGGACCGTCGTGGGAATCATCATTAGGAACGACGATTTGTCGATAAGAGCCTTCCCTGCAGAGCCAAAGACCGTCTTGCAAAAGGAGGTGACCCGTGTTATTAACGTCAGTAAACCAAGGGTCCATAGCAATAGCAGCCTTAATACACGCAGACAGAATCGGAGGCTGAAGCCGACCGCTCCTGAGAAGCGGTGCAACGAGCAACGAGTCGTGACAGACAGGATGGCGGAATGCAGTGAAGGATGCCGACTAAGAGCGTCAGCCACATTCAACGAGCCAGACAGGTACTCCCAGTCGAAATTAAACCGCACGAAATATTCCATCCATCTAGCCTGCCGAAGGTTTAATGGAGGCACTCCTTGGAGAAAGGTAAGGGGCTTATGATCAGTTTTCAGCGTAAAGGGCCTGCCTTCCAGGTAGCAGCACCATTCTTTTAAAGCGTGTAAAACAGCGAGTAATTCCTGTTCCCCGGTGGTGTAACATGTTTCAGCGCCCGAAAACTCCTACTTGTAAAGGCGACAGGGCGGCCTTGCTGCAACAGAACAGCGCTGGATCCGTAAAGAGAAGCGTCAGTCACTACCTCGACACGGAACGGCAACGAGTAGTCGGAAAAGCGGAGGATAAGGTCGTCAGCGACCGCACGCTTTAACACATCGAAAGCCTGCGGCAGGGGGCGAAAACGCACCCTTACGAGTAAGATTGGTTAGCGGTGCAGCTATCACGGAATAATGCGCAATAAACTTACGAAAATAGTTCGTCAACCCCAGGAACTTACGAAGTTCCTGCAGAGAGGTGGGCGCTGGCCAATCCCGTACAGCAGCAGTTTTACGGGGATCCATCCATCGGCAGAGACGATGTGACCGAAGGGGGTGTGAAAGGCAGTTTTCGGGATATCTGACTCAGCAATGCGGATCTGATTATACCCCTGTTGAAGGTCAATCGAGCTAAAGTAAGCGGAACCGCGCAGCTTATCGAGTAAGTCATTGACACGCAGCAAGGGATAACGATTCTTAACGGTTGTAGTGTAGTCTACTCATGTGCATCGATTACCGGGGTTGTAGCGTTCAAACCCCGGTAATCGATGCACATGAGTAGACTACCATCTTTCTTACCCACAAACAGGATGGGTGCAGAGTACGGAGAAGTGCTAGGACGAATCACACCCGAAATCCGTGTCGTTGACCACTGATCATACCAGGCTTTGGCGGCACCGTCCAAAGCATTGGCGATGAACAGGCAACGAACCGGTTCCCGATCACCACCCCGAACTAGCTGGAGATACTGCTTCGCATCCCTAACGAATGTGCGCATACTACCTGCTGCTGCCCAACCTAAGTCGCGAGGTTGAAGTTCGGAAGGAAAGTTCAACCTAGGAACAGGGACGGAAAGTCTAAGTACCGTAGTGCTACTTATAGTTCGTGATCGCTTTGTTCGGGGAGGGGTCAAAAAACTTGCTGAAATTTGTACGTGCTCTTTGAATTTTGGGGAAGGCCGGACAAGATTTTGCGGGCATGATACAAAATTTCGGGGCCCCTTCCAAAGTTTCGGGGCTTTTCAAACTGCAGCTTCCAGTCAGTCTCCCTCCACCGGGAACCCTTAGGCTCATGGTCTCTCACCATTTTCGCACTTTGGAAACGCCCTAGCAAATTCTGGACCGATCGTACAGTTCAGTACCAGTGGCAACGACCTAATAACCAACCGGCCGGGCCAATACAGTGTTTGGGTGGTTGCTACTGAAACGTGTCTTCATGTGGCTGAAACCCCGACGTAAAAGGCATTACGATGCAGCTGGATGCACCAAACAGGAACCCTCACCCCTCACCTCACATTATGCCGAAAAAAAGCATTACGGTGCAGCTGGATGCACCAAACAGGAACCACCACCCCTCACCTCACATTATGCTCATCTATTGGTAGTGCAGCGGCCGAACGCTTGCCCGCCCTGATCTGCTGCGAACAGCATTCACCAGCGCCCGGACCTCACCCTCATCCTCGCTCTCCTCCCCCTTATCCCCATCCACGTCCCCCTCATCCTCGCAATCGGATGGAGCCTCGCTTTCCTCGCTCTCCTCCTCGCTGCTGCTGGGCTCTGGCTCATCCTCCTCGTGCTCCATCTCCTCATTGCTACCCTCCGGCTCTGCACGCTTCGTCCCCCGGCCGTGCTTGTTGCCCTGCTTGGTCCGGCCGCCCTTCACACCGCCCTGCCGCTTGGCCTGCTCGTTAAGTTTGGCCGCCCGCTTGGCAGCCATTGCTGCACGCATGGCCTCCACCTTGTCTGCTGGTAGCATGCTGAACTTTGCATCCAGCTCCGTGACGTGCTCAAGTACACGCTCAAGCATGCTGTCATCGTCATCGTCAACAATGGCATAGCGGCTGGGGTCGGTGGTGTCATCATCATCCTCCGCCGCGGGGTTGGTGGTGACGGGGGTGATGGCGGCAGTAGCAGCAGCAGCGGTGGTGGCGGTGAGGCCCAGCATATCCGTGGTGGCCGCTGTGGCGACGGCGCCTGCCTCACGGGTGCTGCGTGGTGGTGGGAAGAGTGCTGCCTTGCCCTCACTGAGCACCTTCCGGGCCGCCTGGTCGATGGTATCCTGGTCCCACGCCTTCGAGAGTGTTGCGCTGTCCCAGGCATGCAGGACGATCTGGGGTTGGCTTATTAGGTAGAGCCAGGCGGCGAGGATGAAGCTGCAGACGAGCGGCTTCATGGCGGATGTGTGCAGGTTGAGCACAGCATCCTGGGGGGCAACGCTGCTGTTGAACTGCGACTCCAGCTGCCACCGGAAGGCCTTGCTTGCCTCATTGCGGATAGCATCCTTGAGTGGCTTCTGCAGGCCCGTGTCTGCTGGCTGCAGCTTGGAGGTGCAGTTGGCTGGCACATACTTGAGCAGGATGCCGGGGCACTTGCACTTGAGGTGGGCCTGCAAAGCCAAGGACGGTGGAAAGGCAGCTTTAGTGCAGTACCAGGGCAGTGGGATAGGATGTGGGTATCCCTGGCCGGCAGCACAGCACCATACACATCCTTTTGGTTCGCGAAACTTTCGGCCTCCCCCTTACCTGGAAGGCCTCTGACAGGTGCACCTGCCAGCAGTCGATGATGAGCATGCAGGGGTGGTCAGGCGGCAGCCCAAGCCGCTCCTTGGTGCGCTGGAGGTAGGGCAGCAGCACCAACTCCACCCACTGTTCCATCAGCTTCTGGTTGGACCAGAGAACGCCAGGTGCGCCCCGATGTCCATCAGGCCCTTGCTGCAATCTTGGGGAGGAAGCAAGCGCTTGGTGCCGCCCTGTGATGGACATGAGTGGGGATAAAAGGCTTTGTTACCCAGTGTTGGCACCGTACAGTAACGGTACGGTACACCAATGGCAACAAGAGGCCTAAGAAAAATAAAGTGCAGCCATGTTGTATCCTGTAAAGGTTTCCCGCAACGGTTTGGGTGCCGAATCCTAACTGTCGGTGGTTAGCTCGTCCACTCCGATTTACCAAACTCCAATATTACTAACTAACTCCCGTCAATTCCGCGGTTGGTGATTACAGGTATTAACTAATACTGATATTAGTTTAATTGCGGCTACTGTTAGCTGCGGCGGCTAAGCGACTACTGTTAGTCGTCCGCCATCCAAATGCCGCACTGTTGCGGAAGTCCATAGGCGCCGGCGGGTAACACGACTACTGTTAGTCGTCCGCCATTCAAGTGCCGCACTGCTGCGGAAGTGTATGGGCGACGGCGGCTAAGCGACTACTGTTAGTCGTCCGCCACCTTAATGCCGCACCACTGCGGAAGTCCATACCTACGTATGGGCGGGGGTTTTACTTACGTAAAGCTGGGACCTGCGTCCCAGTTTCGTCTGACCGAGCGAGAGTAGTTCCTGCGAACTATGGCTTCTGGATTCGGTGCCGCCCAGTCGTACTGGGAATCCTTATCGGCGCGAGGCCCAAGTGGAGTCACTGATGACTACTTATTCAAGACACTTGTCTCAATCGGTATCTTTCGATGCCCCCATTATGTGGTTGTGTCGTCTGAAGACTACAACAAATCTGGTATCGAGACGGGTTCCTTACGGACCAGTCTCATCTCCGCTTCCGCACTCTTTCTTTCATTTGGCACTAGTATGAACTTCCCTAGTGAAGAGGTTACATCGGCTGATTCGGAAGATTTCGGCCCCTTGGCGACTTTCGCTGCTGACCTCGGCAATGCGGTGATGGCTGCCGCCGCATCCGCGGGTTGGTAGATTCGTCCTACCTTTTAGTGAAGTAACCTTAGATTTCGCTCCCCTAACTGTTTTTAGATTTGCAGGCCCTCTCGTCGTAGCGGGTTCTGCTATCCCTACCTCTGCTGCGATCCCTCGCTTGCGCGAGCTTGTGCACCTCTCCCGTGGTGCATTGCAAGCAATCGAGGCAGTCCATCGCTGTGCTGAGGAAGTCTTACTTTTCGGTAGGGTTACCTTAGCTACCTCTTTTACTTCGCTTTTCGGGTTGGATCGCTTCGTCATGTTGCCTGCCAACTCCGGAAACGCGCCTCTACCTGTCCTCGGGGATGGTCAGCAGGGAGCTTTAAGTGTAGTTCCCCCTTCCTGGAACGTAGCGGACGGGGTTAGGCGAAATCGCTGGGGTCCGCCGGATGTAGTCGTTGAGGGTGGTCCCGCACGGACAGTCCCTATCGCTGCCCCGGTAGTTCCTATTAACCCTGCCGCTATCCCAGTGCCTCCTGTAGCACAGGATCCCACACCTATCGCCGCTGTTCCGCCACCGCCGATGCTTGTAGCCTCCTCCGCACACGGCGCTGGCGGCGCAGAAAGGGCTCCCACGGCTGCTGCATCCTTACCGGTGCAGGACGTCGAGGTACTTAGACTTTCCGTCCCAGTACCTAGGTTGAATTTTTCTACCGACCCTCGAACTCGTGATTTAGGTCGTGCTACGGCGGTTAGTACGCGTGCATTCGTTAGGGATGTTGAGCAGTATCTCCAGCTGGTTCGAGGTGGTGATCGGGAGCCGGTTCGTTGCCTGTTCATCGCCAACGCTTTGGACGGTGCCGCCAAAGCCTGGTATGATCAGTGGTCAACGGCACGGATTTCGTTCACTTCGGACGAGCTGTTTACTGCGTTACTTGCCCGTTTTGCTCCTGAAGTCGTGCCCCGCGACGTGGAGGCTCGTTCCGTTCTTGCGAGTGGTACGTACCGTATGCGCCCTGGCGAGAACGTCTCTTCCTACCAGTCGCGTTTCGAGGCACTTATTACGCCTATTGCGGACTTCACAGAAGGAGAAAGAATTTTCTGGTTTCAACGCGGACTATCTGAAGAACTCATAGGCGAATGCGCTACCGACCTTTTAGGAATGCCGTTTTCCTCTTACAACCACCTTTACCGTTTTGCTTTGGGCGTGGAAATGCGCCACCATGCCCGAAAGCAAGTTTCTCGTTCTGCTCCCCGTGCTAATGCCCTCTTTTCGCAGGCCCCGGAGCTGGACCCGGTTGGCGCCCCTGCTGAGGCGCCGGCACCCGATCCTCGCGCTGCTGTCGCTGTCGGGGGTCCTGAGCGCAGAGAGGGTGGCACAGTTGCCGCCCCGGGTGCCGGTAAGCCGAGGGGGGGTCCCCGGGAACAGCGCCGGTGGCAGCAAAAAGGTCCTAGAAGTAATCAGGGTCCTTCCGAGGCCGGGCCTAGTCAGCCGATGGGACAGAAACGCAAACGTGACGACGACCAGTGGCTAGAGAAGTATTGCTGCACTAAGGCAGAGCTGGAGGAGCGCAGGAAGAGGAATAAGTGCATGCGTTGTGGGGATGGCCATTCGACGGGGGTTTGCCCGTTGTGGCCCAAGAAGAAGTAGGGGGTTGCCCAGGCCGCTGAGGAGGGGACTCCTCCTGGGTTAGAAGTAGAGACCGAGCTGCCTGCCATGCGGGCTTCCAGGGCACTGCTGCCCTCTGTGTTAGCGCAGGTTGAGCGAGCTATTGGACGAAAGCTGACGTTTGATGCTCGTTCTGCGAAGAGTGACGGGGATGCTTTGTGTAATCCGCTTGTGCCGCGTTCCCAGTCTCTCTCTGCTAACGACCTACGTGGGCATACGGTTCTCTTCCTCCCCTCTTCTATTTCAGAGTTGCAGGCGCAGCTGACTGCGTACCACCTCTGCAAACGTCAGCACTCGGAAACTGCAGCGTGCGTTATTACACCTACCCACACCGCAACCTGTGCTTCGGCCCTGCTGGCCGGGATGCAGCGCGTTCTGCAGTTTAGTCCCAGGACACCGCTGTTCAACGGGCTCGATCTGGAGGGTCGGCCTGTGCCGTTTCCCGGGTCAACATCTGCCTTTGACGTTTGGTATGATCCCCCGCGACCCGCTGTTGCTTTGCGTGACACTTCACCTCGTCTTTCGGCTTTTCTGCTCTCTCCTCAGTCTGCTGCTCTGCCAGGTGCAAGGATGCCTCTTATCCAAGTCCGCGTCGTCAGCGATACTCTACTCGCGCTCGCTGATTCTGGCGCCAGCGACGACTTTATCTCTCTCTCTGAGGTGAAGCGGCTTGGGTTGACGCCTAGTGCCTGTTCCTGGTCGCATGTCACGCTCGCGAATGGGGATAAGCAGGCTATCTTAGGTCGGGTTACATTGCGTCTTTCGGTGGGACCTTTGCGTTTGTCGGTGCATCCGTACGTGTTGCCTGAGTTGCCTGCTCCGGCCACGTACATCTTAGGGTCCTCTACGTTCTCGCGGTACGGGGGCGTCCTTAGTTTCGAGTCGTGCACCCTGCGGTTGCGCAAAGGGACTCTCGTTTATAAGGCGCCTTTTGTTACCGTGGAGCGCGATCCTTCCGAACAGGGTACCTCGCAGTCGGAACCGCAAGTTCATTACGCCGTAGCCGCGCTCTGCCAGCACACCACCCCTCAACCCATAGGTCGAAAAGCTGCAGTGCGACTTATTCGCAAGGGCGCGCATGGTCTGTTAGTTCGGCCTAAACTGCAACTGAACGCTGCCGTTACCGCTACTGACCCATCGGACCCTGAGCTGCAATCCCTGTTGAACGAGTTTTCCGACGTTTTTCAGGAAATTCCAGGGATTCCTCCTGTTCGGCCAGTCGATCACACGATTCCTCTGACTCCTGGCGCAACTCCGGTGACTCGTCCGATGTACCGCCTGAGCCCTCTGGAACTCGACGAAGTCAAGCGCCAGGTTACTGACTTGCTGAAAAAGGGTATGATCCGCCCTAGCACTTCTCCCTATTCTGCGCCAATCCTGTTTGTCGGTAAGAAAGACGGTAGTCTACGCATGTGCATTGATAACCGGGGGTTGAATGCTACGACGGTTAAGAATCGTTACCCTCTCCCGCGCGTTGACGACCTGCTTGATAAGCTGCGCGGGTCAGCCTTCTTCAGCTCGATTGACCTCCAGCAAGGGTACAACCAGATTCGTATTTCCGAGTCCGATATTCCGAAAACCGCGTTCCGCACCCCGTTTGGTCACTTTGAGTACACGGTCATTAGTTTCGGCTTAACTAACGCTCCTGCTACTTTCCAAGCCGTTATGGACCGTCTTTTTCATCCTTTCATTGACAAGTTTCTGATTGTTTATCTTGACGATCTTCTGGTCTTTTCTAAAACGCGCGAAGAGCACCTGCAGCACTTGCGTTCTGTCCTCCAGGTGTTGCGGCGTGAGAAACTATACGCGAAGCTCTCTAAGTGCCATTGGTCGCAACCCCAGGTGGAGTACCTTGGCCACATCGTCTCTGCCGACGGTGTTCGGATGGATCCCCGTAAAACTGCTGCTGTACGGGATTGGCCGGCGCCCACCTCTCTGCAGGAACTTCGTAAGTTCCTGGGGTTGACGAACTATTTTCGTAAGTTCATTGCGCGTTATTCCGTGATAGCTGCGCCGCTAACCAACCTGACTCGTAAGGGTGCGTTTTCGTCGCCATCCGCGTGGACAGCTGATTGCCAGCAGGCCTTCGATGCGTTAAAACGTGCGGTCGCCGACGACATTATCCTCCGTTTTCCCGATTACTCGTTGCCATTCCGTGTCGAGGTAGTGACTGACGCTTCTCTTTACGGATCCGGTGCTGTTCTGTTGCAGCAAGGCCGCCCCGTGGCTTTTACGAGTAGGAAGTTTTCGGGCGCTGAAACCCGTTACACCACCGGGGAACAGGAATTACTTGCCGTTTTACACGCTTTAAAAGAGTGGCGCTGCTACCTGGAAGGCAGGCCCTTTACGCTGAAAACTGACCATAAGCCCCTTACGTTTCTCCAAGGTGTGCCTTCGTTAAATCGTCGGCAGGCTAGATGGATGGAATATTTCGCGCGGTTTAACTTCGACTGGGAGTATCTGTCTGGCTCGTTGAATGTGGCTGACGCTCTTAGTCGGCATCCTTCGCTGCATTCCGCCATCCTGTCTGTTACAACTCGTCGCACCGCTTCCCTGGAGCGGTCGGTTTCGGCCTCCGATCTGTCTGCGCGTATTAAGGCTGCTATTGCTACGGACCCTTGGTTTACTGACGTTAATAACACGGGTCACCTCCTTTTGCAAGACGGTCTTTGGCTCCGCAGGGAAGGCTCTTATCGGCAAATCGTCGTCCCTAATGACGACTCCCTGCGTCGTGAGCTACTTTCCCGTTTCCACGACGGTCCGTTGGCGGGTCACCCTGGCTGCACACGGATGGTCGAAATTCTTCGGCGTTCTTTTTGGTGGCCACGGATGGCTAAGGATGCCGAGAATTACGTCCTCTCCTGTGATTCATGCCAGCGTAACAAGTCTATCTCTGGTAAGCCCCACGGATTGCTACAGCCTTTGCCTGTCCCTGCGGCCCCTTGGGAGAGTGTTTCCATGGACTTCGTTGTGGCGTTGCCTAAAACTGAGGGGGGGTATGACGCGGTGTTGGTCCTGGTCGACCGCCTGACGAAAATGGTTCACCTTGCACCCACCACGTCATCCTGCACCGCAGAGCACACTGCACGTTTATTTTTTGATAACGTTGTGCGTCTGCATGGTGTTCCCAAGTCTGTCGTTTCGGATCGTGGTGGCCAATTCACTAGTAAATTTTGGGACGCATTGGGGAAGTTGGTAGGTATGCGCATAAACCTTTCCACTGCCTACCACCCCCAGTCCGATGGCCAAACCGAGCGAACTAACCGGACTTTAGGTGATATGTTACGTAACTTCGCGGGTCGAACACCCTCTGTCTGGGATACCTGCTTGACGGCGGCCGAATTCGCGATTAATAATGCCGTTAGCCGCTCGACTGGTCAAAGCCCCTTTTTTCTAAATTACGGTTACAATCCTGTTCTGCCTGTTTTGCGCGAACTTGACGTAAACGTCCCCGCGGCTAAGACCTTTGCCAAGTCGTTTGTGTCCCGACTGACAGAGGCTAAGGCATGCCTTGACTCAGCCCAACAGCGCGCAGCGGACTACTACAACAAGTCCAAACGGGACGTCACCTTCACCAAGGGCCAACTGGTCATGCTAAGCACCAAGAACCTGCGTTCTCTGGCCGAAGGTTCCCGTAAGCTGTTGCCTCGCTGGGTTGGGCCTTACCCTGTTGTGCGCATGGTGGGTTCGGTTGCTGTACAACTTGAACTCCCTCCTGAAATGCGCGTCCACCCTACTTTTCACGTGTCCTTAGTACGTCCATATCGTGGGTCTGTGCCCATCCCTGAAGCGCCTGCGCCTCCTGCTGCTATAGAGGCCGCGCCTACTACTTGGTTGTCCGGTAGGCAAACCATGTATGCAGTGGAACGAATTTTGGACTATCGAACTCGACGCGCGGGTAAGGCTAGGCGCAAGCGCACGGTGCACGAATACTTAGCCAAATGGGCTGGGTATTCGTCCGAACACAACAGCTGGGAACCGGCGCGTAACTTCACCCCCGACCTCAAACCATTGCTCGATGCGGCTCGTCTTAGGGTGCAGTCCCAGGTGGTATCGCGTTAGTTAGTTTTTACTAATCTTGTTTTGCATAGCGAGCCGTGTGCGACGGGGACGTCGCCTTTAGGGGGGGGGAATAGTTGTTGTATCCTGTAAAGGTTTCCCGCAACGGTTTGGGTGCCGAATCCTAACTGTCGGTGGTTAGCTCGTCCACTCCGATTTACCAAACTCCAATATTACTAACTAACTCCCGTCAATTCCGCGGTTGGTGATTACAGGTATTAACTAATACTGATATTAGTTTAATTGCGGCTACTGTTAGCTGCGGCGGCTAAGCGACTACTGTTAGTCGTCCGCCATCCAAATGCCGCACTGTTGCGGAAGTCCATAGGCGCCGGCGGGTAACACGACTACTGTTAGTCGTCCGCCATTCAAGTGCCGCACTGCTGCGGAAGTGTATGGGCGATGGCGGCTAAGCGACTACTGTTAGTCGTCCGCCACCTTAATGCCGCACCACTGCGGAAGTCCATACCTACGTATGGGCGGGGGTTTTACTTACGTAAAGCTGGGACCTGCGTCCCAGTTTCGTCTGACCGAGCGAGAGTAGTTCCTGCGAACTATGGCTTCTGGATTCGGTGCCGCCCAGTCGTACTGGGAATCCTTATCGGCGCGAGGCCCAAGTGGAGTCACTGATGACTACTTATTCAAGACACTTGTCTCAATCGGTATCTTTCGATGCCCCCATTATGTGGTTGTGTCGTCTGAAGACTACAACAGCCAGAACCACATCCAATGACAAAAGGGGACTGTACGAAATGCAAGAACGGCTAAGCAATTGGCCTAAGTAGGTAATCCTATCTCCTACTTGGTTTACTTGGTTATTAAAGGGTAGGCCTCAGAGACCCCTACCTGGAAGATGACCTGCGGTGGTAGCATGCTACCGTCAGCCGCCGACGCCACCACAATGGTAATCTGGCGCTTGTCATCCAGGCCGACCTGCCGTATGTACGCTTGCTGACGGGCACAATGTTGCAGCCAGTCTGATCCGCGTTCACGACCAGCGCCTTCGGGATTGCGTGCTTGAAGGCCAGGTAGGCAATCTGTTATGAAAGGATGGAGGTGAAGGGCCGAAGCAGGGTTGGTAGGTACGAAAAGCTTTTGAGAAGTACGACATGGCTATCAATGCCTATGATTGGCAAACGGGGAACACGGAAAGGAGGCAGTGCAAACAGCTACCGTTTCTAATGCTCATGGCAGGATCCACAGCGATGTACCTGCAGCAGGAAGAGCCGGGCAATGTCTTCCCAGTCGGCGGGTAGCTTTTGCGCTGCAGACGTTGCAGCCCGGTTGGAGAGGTGCAGGCCCTTGCAGACCTTGCGGATCCAGGCCCGACTGCACGTAAAGGTGCCGCCACTACCGGCCAGAAGGTAGGCATAGCCGGCCTCCCGCAGCCTCTCGATTATAGGCTCATGCAGCGTCCCTGAGGTGACCTACAGAAGGACAAGGGATTGTGCACGGTGTCAATGTGAATTCGGGACTGTAAGCGAGAGCAAACACAGGCTAGGCGGCCATTCTTCTTACGTTGAGCCCACTGAGCACCATCTCCATGATCACGGCCTTGGCCACGGCGAACGCATCATTCGGCAGGGAGGCTTTGCGGCCACGGCCGGGTGTGGCAACCCCAGCCCCAAAGATGGTCGGGTTCTCCTTGTACTTAGCCAGCCAGCCAGAGACCGTGGACTCCTTCAAGGGGTGCTCGGAGTTAAAGGTGCCGCTGTGGTCCCGGTGCATGAAGTTGATGCCCATGGCAACCTGCATCACAAGGCAAGCAAGGGTTAGAATGAAGTACCATACCGTATACCGTATCCTTACGGCACCCGAACCCTGACATCGCGGGCTTACCGAATCAGCACAGCGCTCCCTGATGAACTCCACAACCATCCGCTTTTCATCGTTGCTGAATCGAGCGTACATGCCGCGTGGACCAGTAGACTTGGGTGTGGTGGTTGCCACCTGAGCGGGCGTCACAATGACTTGCCTGGTGAAGCCAGGGGCCAGTGCGAACTGCAGCCGAGCCATGGTTGACCCGCGGATTTGTTGAAGAGGACGTCCAACAGGTCGAATGCCACGCTGCGGCGTGAGCGCAAGCCTCGCCTCGCCGGCTGCCGTAGCATTGACCGCATTGCGCTCACGCCTAGCAACCTCCTCGGGCTCCATTCGCTCACGCTGGGCCTCAACAACAGCATCATCAAGCCTAACTGGTGCAAATCCAGCTCGGTCGCTCACCGGAGCGTTTGGTGCTAGCGATTTCATCCCGCATTGAAGCAGGGTTGCCTGTCTTGCACGTTTTCGAGCGACGTTCATGTCCTACGTTTATGACTACATTTCTTACATTTAAGAGCTGATTTCCGCCTGGAAATCCTAGTTTTTGCGAAGTTTGATCGACCGCCTTCGGAGCGTACGATATTTCGGGGCTGCCGGACAGAGGTCACACATTTACATAATGCCAAATGAACGGACTACAGAAGCTGCATAGCTAAAGAAAAGTTATTGCTTTAACTAGTTTAGCAAAGAGCTTCACGCGCGGGCACCTCCGATTTCGACCTCAGGTTGGCCGATGATGATGACAGGACTTCTCGCTTTGTACCCATCCAAAAGCACCGAAACGCATAGGACTGTTGTGGAATCTAGCACATGCAAGACATTGCGTGGTCGACGTTAAGGGGGCGCATGATGCCCCGGCAGCGCTTTCTGGGCCTCCAGGAGCCCCAAAACGGATTGTCTAGGATCGATCCATTGCAGATAGATCGTAGGCGCTGGTCTGACGGTCATAGGGCTCATAGCAGCTGGATGGCTTTCAGACTGCCGGTCATGGGAACCCGGGAGGCATGCTGTTGGTGCAGGGCAAACCAGGGCTGTTGGGTGACCGGTGGAGATGGATGGGTGCACCACCAATTGATATACACAGGGACGTATCCTAATCGGGGCGCTCGGCGGTACTCCGCCTGGAGCAAGCAGGTTTAACTCCTGCCGTCCTGTTCCTTTCATCATCCTCCCGCAAAGATTCCCCCACAATTCTTGTACATCACAGCGCACTCCTAGACCGGCTGGATTTAAGGAAGAGATCCGGAAGAGCTTGCGGCCCTCCCGTGGCTTACCCTCGGGCGAAGACGACAGAGGACTAGTCTCATTGGTAGGATACGGGGAAATAACAAAAAGTTTAGAAGGCACCTGTTATCTACTGCGTTTGCATCCCAATCCGTGAAGGTTATCCACCTCTCTGTGCTTTCACTGACATAGTGACAGGGCGACGGTGGATGAAACCGGTACAGTAGCACTATACCACGTAAGACCAGTGTAAGAATACGCAATTGCAGGAAAGAGCCGCTTTGTAGAGTGAAAAAGAGGCGAGCAGTCGCAGGATTACAGCCTGTTCATTGATTCACATGAAGCAAATGGCTAAGCTCACGGGCCTACATGTTTGCCATTGAGAGCCATGAGTGAATTATGATTACCGTGGACCCATAGGCCTACCCCCAATGGTCCCCCCTTTGTAAACCCCGCTTGAGGTCTTGGCACACCTATCCTGGCTCGTGATGTGCGTGGCGGCAGCCGGGGGAATCCCCCTCTACTGAACCACGCCTGAAGGCCCTGCCTGTTTTCTCTTCTCCCAAAGTTGCGCAAACCCAAAAAACCCATTACAGTGTGTCTTGGGCCTTTCTCCGCCAGGAGGTCCCCAGCCTGGGTCTGCATGTCCTTTGTTTCATTGCAGCCGCCATGAGCCTACTCCTTGTTTCCAACCGCCACATCCCACATACATTGTTCCGCTGGCACCGGTGTTGTGTCCGTGTCAGCCAGCACTGCCCGTCGTCCTCATGCCTCCACTTCAATCGGCATGCTCACCACCCTCCCACCGTATCCAATTAAGATTTTAGTAAAGCCCGCCTGTCCAATCCGCTGTGGACGTGTCACCTACACCCCCCTCCGTGCCCACACCCCCACTCAGAGACATTGCCGACACTGGCAACATTGCTGATCCCGTCACCACTACACCTCGATCCTGAGATCCACTGCCTTAACCCGGGACCTGCTGTGCGTGGTGCACCCCTTCCAGGGTTTCACCCACCAAAAAAGAGCGTTGTCACTGGTCGTAAAACCCCCATGGCCACCTTAGTAGCTACCCGACTGGTCCCCACCATATCCCCTCCCGTACAAGCCCCACCCGGGGCCTGCACTGCTGCACTGCGCCGCCAGGCTGGTCGTTGCTGCTGCCGCTGCCGCAGCGGTGACGGGCGCACCGTGATAGCCAGCGGCCACCGCCACCACCGCAGCCGCCACCGCATCATCATAACCACCCGACTGGTCCCCGGGACTCTTTGTGGGAGGATGATGAAAGGAACAGGACGGCAGGAGTTGAACCTGCTTGCTCCAGGCGGAGTACCGCCGAGCGCCCCGATTAGGATACGTCCCTGTGTATATCAATTGGTGGTGCACCCATCCATCTCCGCCGGTCACCCGACAGCCCTGGTTTGCCCTCCACCAACAGCACGCCTCCCGGGTTCCCATGACCGGCAGTCTGAAAGCCATCCAGCTGCTATGAGCCCTATGACCGTCAGACCAGCGCCTACGATCTATCTGCAATGGATCAATCCTAGACAATCCGTTTTGGGGCTCCTGGAGGCCCAGAAAGCGCTGCCGGGGCATCATGCGCCCCCTTAACGTCGACCACGCAATGTCTTGCATGTGCTAGATTCCACAACAGTCCTATGCGTTTCGGTGCTTTTGGATGGGTACAAAGCGAGAAGTCCTGTCATCATCATCGGCCAACCTGAGGTCGAAATCGGAGGTGCCCGCGCGTGAAGCTCTTTGCTAAACTAGTTAAAGCAATAACTTTTCTTTAGCTATGCAGCTTCTGTAGTCCGTTCATTTGGCATTATGTAAATGTGTGACCTCTGTCCGGCAGTCGCAGTTTCCATCTACCAAAGTATGACCGCTTTGTGCAAAATTTAAGCTACAAAGAAAAGCAATAATTAACTCAATTGGTGTAAGGTTTTGCAGTTCGTTAGCGCGCGCTTCTGAGACCATGTCGTAACTTCGGAGCTAGTGGAGCTTGATCTTGTGGTTCTCCGTGTGAGACAATGGCGCGCTAATATGACTATTTAAGCGGACCATTTTACGAACATTGTAAGTCTAAGTTGAAATTGAAAAGCCCGATCTTCTGTGCTTACGCAAGTATATCGGCCAGTAAAGTCAGCTTGCACTTCCCAGTTGTTAGGAGCGGCCTGGTTCCCTTTCAATTGGTATCAGAGCCTAGGTGATCCTCCTCGCCGAGCTCTTCATCGTCGTTGCCATCGTCTTCGTCGTCATCGCGCCATCGCGCCATCGCGCCATCATCTTCGCCTCTACACTTCGTCTTCACCTTCATCACTTCGTCTTCGTCTTCGCCCTCATCACTTCGCCTTCGCCCTCATCGCTTCGCCTTCGCCCTCATCACTTCGCCTTCGCCCTGATCACTTCGTCATCGCCCTCGTCACTTCGTCTTCGTCCTCTTCGCCTTCATCACTCCGTCTTCGTCTTCGCCCTCATCACTTCGCCTTCGCCCTCATCGCTTCGCCTTCGCCCTCATCACTTCGCCTTCGCCCTGATCACTTCGTCATCGCCCTCGTCACTTCATCTTCGTCCTCTTCATCTTCGTCCTCAACCATGTCTCTCTCGAACGAGTTCCCGTTTCCGCCTTCCTTTCCTGCCGCCACCGACCCCGCGCCCGCGGCGCCCCCCACCACGTCCGAAGCCGCTCTCCCCTGGGATAGAATCTCAGAAGTCGCTGCACATGCTGCCGTACGTGCCTTAGAGAATCATTCGTCAAACAACCAGTGCGGACCAGCCCCCCGATTCAACCCCACGGCCAAGGACGCCGACCTCACTTCGTGGGCCAACCGCCTCCGCCTCCACTTTACGGTATGCGGTCTGCATGAAGACAGTGCGCCTGCTGTCGCCATCGCCCTGTCTGCCATCGAAGGACCTACCCTGGACACCCTCCTCCGCCACCAACGTACCCCCTTTACTTCCTTAACTGCGGTCCTTCAAGCGCTAACGCCCCTCGCGCCCAGACCCGATCGCCTCCTCCAGGCACAGATCAGCATGGACACCATTCGTCAAGGCTCAGGCCCGAACTCTCTGGTGTCGTACGTGGCCGCTTTCGGACGCCTTATGGGCGACCTTCCTCACCGTCACGAACTCGACCACATCTTTCACTTCGTGAAAGGTCTCAACAGGGACCTCCGTGAGGAAGTCTACGCAAGGCTTCCTCAATACGGCACTGATGTGACCCTGCAGATCATCATTGACTTGGCGATGGGCATCTTTTCCGGGCGCCACAATGCTCATCTCATTGACTACAACACCGCGCCACGCAGCTTCCGAGACGTCCGCCGGGACGACCCTATGGACCTCACCGCCAACGTCTACTCCACCACACCGCACCACAGCAACTTACCTCTTCCGAGCGGCGTCAAAACCATCGGAGTCCCCTACAACTTGCGCCTCCAGCGCATGGCCCAGCATGTCTGCCTACAGTGTGGTGACGAGTCGCACGCCAAGGAACACTGCCCGGAACTTCGTCGCCTCCTGGCAGCAACCACCATCTCCCAACCCAACTCCTCCCGCCGGCACTCCTTTCAGGGTGCTAACAACAGCCGCAAACCGCCCCGCTCGCCTGCCCGCTCGCCTGCCCGCTCGCCCTCCCGCTCCTCCGCGTCCTCCACCTCCGAGGATCGATGTTCACGCAGCCACCACCAATACGACAACCACAGCCATCGCGGTCGTTCTCCCTCCTGCCTCAGTAACAGCTCCCACGGCCGCCGCTCCCAGCACATCAGCGACAAATCCCCTACCCGCTCCTGCTCCCCAGGCCCCCGTTAAATTGGCTCTTAGGCCGTCGTCGGCAGAAACGGTCAGCCACAGCCTGCCGACGTCATCTGCTGTGCACTCGTCCGAAACCGCGTTCAACGTTCAATGTCTAGCTCAAATCGTCCGCAAGCCTGCCCGCCGTGTTGGTCGCAAGCGTGCTCACGCAGCTGCAGCCTCGACATCGAAGGGAGCATGCCAGGCAAGCAACGATTGGAAAATCGCGCGATTGCTTTTTCTTGAATACAATTCACAGTACGGCCCATTTACCGTCGATGCCTACTGTGATGACCTCGGCTTAACTGCACAGCTCTCACCCTTTTTCTCACCGTCCCGACCTTTCCTATCAACCGACATCGAAGGAGAGTGCGTATGGATGGTGCCACCTGTCGACAACACCTCCACCATCGTCGCCCGCTACCTCGACGCCAAGACCGCCAACCCCAAAACCTCTGCCATCATTGTCCTACCTGATCGTCCACAAGCCTCTTGGGCCCCTCTCATCCGCCACATGACCATCGTCCGCTGCTTCCCTGCCGGCACCCAGATCGTCTGCCGCCCCACCTCTTCAGACCCGTCCAGGTATGGAGAACCGGGTCCCAGCCCTTGGCCTGTAGTAGTCCTCCACGATCCACCATCGTCAGCCCCCTTTACTCTCGCGTCTACATCCGCCACCCTGCTTCCCGATACCACCCTTCATCCCGTCTCCACCTCGTCCCATCCCTCATTCGCTTCCGCCAACCATCCGTCAACATCATCCACGTCGTCAGTCAAAACTCTCATCCAACATTTTTCCAGCTCCCATCCCCCACCGCCGCCCCAGCCATCGGACCGCCCTCCATCACCACGCTCTAATGTCGCTAATCTTATCGCTCGTTTTTCGCAAACTCCAACATCCGCTGCCTCTTCCCCACCTCCGCCTACACCAACCGTCAGCCAGCCAGCCCAACCATCTTTCCCCCTCGTACAGCATCCTACCCCCCAGCCCCACCGCGCTCCTCAAGCTTCGCTTCCACAGATAGACGAACAAAGGTCTACGGTGGAACGCCCCTTCATCCCGCCTATCCTAGGTCGCATTGCGTCCGTCACCGACAATCTCTCCACCACCCTTATCGTCTTCGATGCCACCATAGCTGGCCATCCCGCCCGAGTCCTCCTGGATTCTGGTGCTTCCCGCAACTTCATTGCCCACTCCTTCCTCCAACATCACCAATTACACTCCGCCAACCTTCCAGCTTCGCAGTCATTACGTGTTCGTTTGGCCAACGGACACCTCGCCCTCTGTTCCTCCGCCCTTCCCAACGCCCCCTTGGCTATCCAATCACACCATGAGTGCACCACCTTCTTCACCCTCGACCTTGACGGATACGACGCCATCCTTGGGAAACCCTGGCTTACTACCAACAACCCCCAAATCGACTGGCGTACCAACACCGTCACCATCGGTGACACCGTCATTCCACATTCCTCGTATTGCCCATCCGCTTTTCAGATTGAATTCGTCTCCATCGCCCGCATGCAGAAATGCATTCGCCAAGCTGCCGCCCGACCGCCACCACCCAATGCCACCAACCCTCGCAAGCGAGCTCCATTCAACCCATCACCACCTGTTTACATGGGTGTCCTCCATCCCATCGAAGATCCCGAAGTCGACCCTGAAGCCCCCCCTCAACCCACCGCCTCCCCGTCCGTACCACCAGCCCTTCAGTCTGTCCTCCAGCGCTACGCAACCATCTTCGAAGAACCATCGGGTCTACCACCATCATGCCCATGCGACCACCACATCGAGTTGGTCCCTGACGCCCAGCCTCCTAAGCAGCGCGAGTATCGCATGTCCCCAGCAGAACTTCAAGAACTGGACAAGCAGCTCAAGAACTACCTTGACCGTGGCTGGATTTGCCCGTCAACATCACCCTTTGGTGCCCCTATTCTGTTCGCCCGTAAACCTGGTGGTAACGGTCTGCGCCTCTGTGTGGACTTTCGTGCAATCAACCAGCTAACAGTCAAGAATGCGTATCCCCTGCCGCGCGTGGACGAGCTCCTTGACCAGCTGCACGGCGCAGCCTATTTCACCAAGCTGGACCTCTGGTCAGGCTACCATCAAGTCCGGGTGCACGAACCCGATGTGCATAAAACGGCTTTTCGGTGTAAGTATGGTCTGTACGAATGGCTTGTTCTTCCCTTCGGACTTACAGGAGCCCCCGCCACCTTCATGTCCCTCATGAACGACGTCCTCCACCCCTTCCGCAACAAGTGTGCGGTTGTGTACCTCGACGACGTCCTCATCTACTCCCGCACCTTTGAAGACCATTGCCGTGACGTGGAAGCCGTTCTACGCACACTTCAAGACCACCACCTCCATGTCCGCTTTTCCAAGTGCTCTTTCGTGCAACCCACCACCAAGTTCTGCGGATTCATCATCTCCCGCGACGGCATCACG